GATCGAGGTCCCTTCGAGCAAGTAACTGAACCTGAGTCCCTGACAACCACAGCACAAGCAAACATAGCAAAGACATTCCGTGTATACGCAGTAGCAGTGAGTTTTGTAGAGATTTTTGGAATAGCATGGGAAACTATCTGTCGTTCATATGCTTTGACAACGCGAGGTGGGTGCGCTCCGCAGCAGCTCGTTCGTTGAGATCCAGTAGTGATCATCCAACGGGTGATACATGAAGTGAACTTGGAACTGCTGCCACGATATCATAGACTCGAACTACGTAGTGTATCTAACCTTGAGAGAAATCATATTGAGTTAACTGCGAGTTAACCCTGCACATAGAGGGAGTTCTCAAGGTTGAATAATTTTTTGAGTCCACTGCAATTTGAGTTCACTGCGAGTTAACTCTGCATGTAGATATTTCTCAAGGTTGAGTAATTTGAGTTAAACATGAGTTTACTGCGACTGCACGTAGAGTGAGTTGTCGAAGGTTGAATAATTTGAGTTAACTGCGAGTTAACAACCCTGCAAGTATCGATTTCTCAAGTTGGAGAAATAAACTTTCAGTTTAACGGAACTTTAACCACTAAGGAAGTACCTTCGCCAGTGTTGGGAAAATAGGGGAGAAAAGTGGCAGTTTTCCCAAACTCCAAAAACTTCGGAGGATGGGCCCGACGACGGCTCCCGTTGATAAATAATCTGATCGGCGGCCGTCGTTTCGTTTGGCCTCTGAAGAGCTCGGAGGCCTGGTATTTTCCCTTGCGGCAAAGGTACTAGCGGTTTGACCGCGACTTTTTAACCCTATCATACTGAATACCGCGAGGTTAACTTTGAGAGAAATGCTATGGAGTGATTTGAGTCGAAATAATATCTTCAAGGAACAAAGGAAAACCAAGAATATCTCAAACTTCAGACCATTCTATCGCAACTGGCAAGTTGGCAACATTCTTTTGCAACTAAGCCATTCCTCTTAACTTTAGAGTTTGTTTAACCTTGCAGAATCAAAGTTAAGCGGAGTGACTTACGTACGTGTGTTTAGGTGCCAGTGGTGGTGCCACAACTGCAGGCAAGGGTAAAATGAAAACTAGCTTCTCTTGAGAAAAGAAGTGTCTCGTACTTTCTGTCTGTCTGTCTGTTTCTGCCTGCCTGTTTGTTGGTCCATCCGCCTGCGCACACACTCGCCGGCCGAGCTGCCCGCCTGTCTGTTGGTCCACCAATCTCTCTCTCTCTCTCTCTCTCTCTCTCTCTCTCTCTCTCTCTCTCTCTCTCTCTCTCTCTCTCTCNNNCACACACACACACACACACACACACACACACACACACACACACACACACACACACACACACACACACACACATGACTGCAAAAATTGGATGCGGTGATTCCATATCCCACACCCGAACCGGTCCTGTCCGGTCTGTAGGGGTGGCCACTCGCCATAGGTTTTTGGTTTTGCTACAGTAGTCTGTTTCAGTGGTGAATATTTAGAAATCTGTGAAGCTCGTCATACACCTCTCCCCTGCTCTTTGCATGTCATACTCTATCTTGCCTTCCACATATTTCTTTCCTTCCCGTTGCCCCTACCTCCCCTGGCCCATACTCGTATAGAACTCCTCCCTCTATCCCTTACCCTTCACCCACCCCCCCCTCCACTCCCTTTGTGCTACTAACAAATACATACGAATGAGCATCATTAAGTGAACAGATGAAATGAAGATCAGAAATGAAATGAACGGAAGTATGAAGATGAAGGACGGACACAAAGACTGTATAAGCTGAAGATCTGAAGTGAAATGAACAGGAGTATGAAGCTCTGAAGAGAAATGCACAGGAGCATACCTTTCCTTTTACTCTGCCTCCTGAAATAACATGCAAGTGGGTCGTGAAGGCACACGGGGATCTGGGCAGCTGTCGCTCAACCACAATCAACGTGGGCAGCCTTGTGCGTAAGAGGCACAGTAAAAGGGGAGCTGCAAGAACAATGAAAGGGGTACCCCAAGGACAACCAAAAAAATGTCTAATTATACAATTGCTTTAATATGCTGGACATCTCAAATGCTCTCGTTGTTCAATAGGACAAAGACTGTTTTGATTCGGAAACTATTCATCTGGGTGGAATCGGGGCTGTTGTGGGGAAAATCTATAACACACACACACACACACACACACACACACACACACACGCACACACACACACACACACACACACACACACACACACACACACGACACACACACGTGAGAAAGGGGAGCTGCAAGAACAAGTGAAAGGGTTACTGTGGCATACTGATACCACACGGGCCCCAGTTAGGGCCCGGTTCTGTAGTAGGCACGGGTAGGCCTAGCGACCGGGTCACAACAGTCCCAGTTAGGTCTAGGTAGGCCTAGGACCCGTCGGTTCAGTTTAGGGTCCGGTAGGCCTCGTTTAGACCCAACGGCTAGTTGGTTAGGCCAGGTACCAGGTCCATCGGTAGGACTGGCTGGCGGCGCAGTTTGGCGCCACTTTTGAGATTCCGAAATCGGATCTGAACCGTTGGGCCTGATCAACGGTCCAGACCCGAAGGCCCTCAGTAGGACTGCGGCTGACCCAGCACTATATCAGCTGGGTACCAGCCTCAGTCGGTAGGTTAGTAGTAGACAGAAGGTTAGTCTTCAGGATTAGCGCAGTGTTTCAGCGTTAGCTGGAATAGCGCAGCGCTGCAGCGTTACCATGAGCAGCGAGGAGAGGAGGAGCTCAGCGGCAGAGAGGAACTAGCGCAGCATTGGGAGTAGCGTCAGCCACCGGCCCAGCCCGCGGCCCAGCACCAGTCCCTGCGGCGCCATAGCTACCGTATCAGGTACCAGGGAGAAAGGCCTTGCCTTCTCTCCCTC